AGGATGCAAACCATAATCGGCACAATGGAGAGTGGAGGGAGTCTCAAAGAGAACTCGAAAGGCTTCGCAATACAGTAAACCGGCATGTTTACGGCACACCTGACGAGAAATGGATTTAGTCAATACATCAACACAGTGGGTCGCGTACCTTGACAACAATAACACTCTTTATGAGAAGGTTGTGGCTTTTTTAAAACAAGCAGGTCTTTATTTTAAATTTTAAATATTTTGTTGGTTTTTAATACCACCATGTGGTGTATTACCTGTGATATTGTTTTTAGTGTTTGTTTTTTGTAGTCATTAAATGACTTTTTCTGTGATAAGGTTTTTATCGTCTTTTTTGTTGTCACTATGTGACCTTTATGTGATATTGATAGGTGTTTTATTGTTTTAGTTTTTGTATTATATTAACGTATTCTGGAGCTATATAGCCCGTTTGGTGCTGATGCTCCTTAATACATTTCATTTCATTTCGACTACGACACCAGACTAGGCACTACGTCCGACTTTCCTGAGTTCACCTCTAAAATTTGTTCGCAAAGTGTTTAATTTTTTCTTTAGATCATCCCAGGTAGATTCTGGAAAGCGCTCCTTGTAGTTTTGGTGAAGTGTTTTGTACGCCTCCATATTTTTTTCCTTGTTGCAATAATCATCAGATTTTATTTTCCACATGATGAAGTCTGGTACAGTTCAATTATTTCAAGCATGAACTTTCTCTCATCATCTTTCTTATTTCTAGCTCTCTCTGTTGCCATTTTGACTGTTTGACTGATGAGCCTCCCACATCTTAAATCATTCCATTCATCTTTCATCATTCCTATTCATTCCTATCATGATTTTGAAATATATTAACTGAACGTCAAGAATTAATCTTCACTTCAGCTATTGTTCATTGATTTCTGAAAATTTAATTAAAATTTACACAGATGGCTGAATTATTCAAATCAATATTTAATTAGTACGGTATATTTTTAACATTTTATCTCAAATTGCAATTTAAAAATAATTTTACAACAAACAAGCCGGACAAATCTGGCCCTACCGATGATCCTCAATCGTGATATAAGGATGGCATATCGGGCACGTCTAGGAACGGGTAGAGCAATATTTGTCGGACTACAATCAAACAAACGCTTACCAGTAATGGGCCATTAAAGTAAATGGGCTATTTAGCACCGGATCTGAAAATTTAATTTGTTGAATTCCACCAAGAAGCTTTTTCATATTCTTTTCCTGAGACCGAAATTAAGGTAAAATATCAAAAGAGGCAGCAATTGGTCTAGAGGGATGCCCTTTTGGAGAAGTATGTCTTCTATTATATAAATATTTAGTGTTATTTTCGTATAAGCACTTCCCACCTGGGGATAGTGGGGAAGTGTAAACGTTGGAGTATGACCGGAACAACCGACTGGCATAGTGATAATATTAACCCCAGGTTATGCAACAAATCTTTTATATGGTCAAAACAGACCAGATCTGAAGAATTTAAGTAGGGCCGAAAACCAGCCATCTACAATCGGAGAAATGGCACGTAGACTTAATTATTTTTTCAATGTGGAGGAACAATGATGAATGATGGTACATGTATGCAAGAAGGAGCAAAATTGGCAGACACAATACGCTTAAGAATGGCTTAAGAAACAAAATGAAAAATCGGTATGACGACATAAAGGCACATCGCGGTCATTTAACAACAAATACACATTTCTTTCAGACATGGGACATGGCCATAAGAGGGTACGATACATGGTACATCAAAGTAGATATAAACCGGTATATGGACAATTTTGTACAATTCAAAAATGAGCGATTTTTGAATAAGAGGTAAATAACCTTTATATGAAAGGAAGTGACGTCAGGAATTAATGTGATACGTTAAATTTCGTAATATTTGCGTATGTCAGGATTGACTAAAAGTATGGGAAGTTACAAGGTAGCTGTAAGTTGCTGATAACCTTCTGCCAATGCTGAATATAATTGAACATTTGATAGGTGTGCGCTGGTTAAATGACCATGAACAGCTTCCATAACTTGACTATGCAATGAAAATAATGTAGTTTTACGCCCTACTTTTCTGGACCATGTGGGCTAATGAAGACGAGAACTTGACTATGCAATGATGTAATAGAACATATTATCTATTGCAATTGTGGTTCTAAACCTTCAATAATTCAAAACCAAATGTCTGAAAGCTCTCAACATACTGAGAGTCTTATCCTATCCGACCGAAAGGTCCTTTTCCGATTATATCGAGCTATGGTTCGTTCCAAGCCCCATTATGGGTGCCATTATGGTTCAGCTCGTTCATCCTACCTTAAAGAGCTTGATACCATACATCATCAAGGACGTAGAATCAGTTTAGGTGTGTTTCGTACCACTCCAGTGGAAAGTCTGTACGTCGAGGCTAATGAGCAATCATTGTACGACAGACGGGACAGACTTTCATTACAGTACGCTATTAAGATCATTGCTACACCCACCCTGCTTTCCTCCCCGTATTAAGACCTTACTTTGAACACCTGTACGAGGCAAAGCCTCGTGTTGTTTCTCTTTTTGGTGTCCGCATTCAACCCATTATGTCAGCGGCTGGTATAATCCACGACAGTATTGTGGAGTTTGTCATGACCAATATTTCACCTTGGTCAATTGCTTCACTTCAGATAGATTTTAGTCTATCGAACAACAAGAAGTCACAGACAAGCTCTGTTGTCTTCAAGTCTAAATTTCTTGAGGATGTTGATAACGTAGTAGCTGCTACAGTTACGCCATCTGAAGTCCTATCTGTGGCTCTTCCACCAGCAGCCCCAATATTTACAGCAGAACTCATAGCCATTCTACAGGCACTTGAGTTTTTTCAGTCCTCATCATCATTAAAAAAATGTATTATATTTTCCGATTCTTTGTCCTCATTACAAGCTATTAATAACATTCAGCTTGTTCACCCAATAATCGGGGATATATTTACAAGCTCTCTGGGCCGAAAAATGACATTGTCCTTTGCTGGCTCCCCAGTCACATGGATATGTCCGCCTGACAGTGAAACACATTCTGATTGAGTGTAAGAATCTCAAACCAATATGATCACAGCACTACCGTGCTGTTTCTTTATTTCAGCTTTTTGCGCAACCTTCTCTTTACGAGAAGGTTGTGGATTTTTTTAAAACAAGCAGGTCTTTATTTTAAATTTTAAATAGATTAGTCATTGTTTGTTTTAAATATTTTGTTTGTTTTTAATACCACCATGTGGTGTATTACCTGTGATATTGTTTTAGTGGTTTTTTTGTAGTCATTAAATGACTTTTTCTGTGATATGGTTTTTGATCGTTTTTTTTGTTGTCACTATGTGACCTTTAAGTGATATTGATAGGTGTTTTATTGTTTTAGTTTTTTATTATTTAACGTATTCTGGAGCTATATAGCCCGTTTGGTGCTGATGCTCCTTAATGCATTTCATTTCATTTCTTACCTTATACCGACTTTAAGTAGGTTATAATTAAAAGATCAAAAGTTGGAAGATGAACTGAACTACTCAAAAAATAAATGAAAATAAAGGTGAAAATTGTTACATAACAACAGATGGCAATTGATTTATTAAATGTGTAAATTATGTTATAAACAAAGATTTTACAATTCAATTTCAAAATTTTATCAACGGTTTCTCAAAAGCAAAAAGAAAAGGAGTAATGACGTGTGCTAGAATAAGAGAAATCAATAAGAAATGTGATACTTCATTTCACATTTACAATCCCCAAAATAGACATTTATTTGTGTTTTCAAGTATAAGTGATGATGCGTTATTCGTTTGGGATTGTGAAACGTATTCAGAAAGTGAAACGCGTAAAGCGATTCCTTATTTCTGTACGTTAATTAATTTAGAAAAACTAAGAAAAAGTTGTAGACGATAGAAAATATCTTTCCAAATCTAAATCCTACTGATAATGTTCCAGAAGAATTTTATAATAAACTAATGAATATAGTAGAAATATTTGTAGGTCAATATGATAGAAAGAGATTACTATTAATTTCTCATCACGGTAGTGGTTTTGATAACTGGATCGCGCTTAAAAATACAAAAAAAAACTAACTCAATGCCCTTTGATAACACCCAGCGGCATTCTATCTTTACCTTTATCTAATCCATACACAGATGAAGATTTACAGAAAAAATGGAAAAGACAGAAAGAAATAACAAGCAATAATAATTATTTACAACATATTAATTTCACATGTTCCTATCAACATGAAAAATCTAGTTTGGCGGCATGGGGTAATTCATCTAATCTACCAATGAATTTGAGCAAGATCACTGAAATCAATATTGCAATATACACTGAAGATAATTGGGAATCTTTAAGACACGAATGGGAACCATATGCAAAAAAAAAAAAAATACCCTATGTCTTGGAGCTTGTTTGATAAAATATAACCAAGTCACGAAAGAAGTTGTATTCCAGAATATTTCCAATAATCTAACGGCTCCGGCTTTATCTTTTAAGGGTTGGTATTATTTATATCTTTATGATAAAGAAATGGATGAAGAAGAATGGTATGAAACTACTAGAGTGGTTCCGAAACATACCGAAAAAAAGAATATAGAAAAAGTTAACTCACACACTAACCCTTTTATAAGACATTTTATCAGACGATCTATTAAAGGAGGAAGAGTTTCGGCAAATAGAAAAATATTTGAAACGAACAAAATGGATGAAATTTGTAATGTATTAAAGGAATTTACACGAAGTGATATTTCACAAAGTGAAACACGAAGTGATAACATAATTGATTTATTCAAAGAATACAGCGCAAGCACAAAAGACAAAACAGAAGTTAATTCAAAACTTAAAAAAATAATCTGCAATAAACTAACTGCATTTGACGGATGTCAATGTCAGATTTAGACAGTGAATATCCAAAACAGAAAGTGCTAGACCGTTTCTGCCAGAAAAAGATTTAGACCTAGAACAGCTATTTTAAAAGTCTGGTTTGACTATCCCAAAAACATGTTCTTCCAACCGATACCAACTGAAGATAAAATCACTTTCACGAATAAAGAAGGTAAACACGAAACTGGCACCAAAATCAGGTTAAGAAATGGTTTCTGTCACGAGGTTTTAACATCGGTTGATATTCAAGAAATAGTTAAAGCCGGTGGACGAATTATTAGAATATTAGAAAATTTTAAAACTCCACCATATAGAGATTATATTTTAATTTTAAGAGATCTTAGAAATAAATATAAACGAGAAGGTAATATTGTGGGTAGTAATTGCATGAAATTATTAGGTAATTCCCTGTATGGTAAATCAATTGAGAAAGATATATTCACAACTAAACATTTATGGAATGAAGCAACTTTACAGGCTAACTTTGATTCACATATCAAAACCTATGAGAAAATTAATGATAGTCAATATATTGTTGAAACAGAAATTGAAGAAAAAGAGATTACTGCTGAAGATAGTAAATCTACACGACTAACACCTAGTCATTTGGGATCATTCGTTTTATCTCACAGTAAAAAAATTATGAATAATTTCATTCATGTAATGGATGGATTTTATAAGCCAGAAATGTACTATACCGATAATTTATTAAATTACAGTGAATATTAATGACGTCAATATCATTCTCGATATTAGGTTTATGTGGCGCTAAAGTGGATTGCGTATATATTTGTTTATCAAAACCTAATAAAGTATTCAAAGAATTTTGTATTATTTCTCAATATCAATTTTATTCTGTTCAGATTCAAATTACTTTCGAGTTCAATATTGTTTTTACCATTTGCACTTCCTCCATATTCAGATAGATATTCGTTTACGGCAACATATTCATAGTTTCCTGGTAGAAAACTTATGGTTTTGAATATAGCTCCTCCCCCAGTGACCCGGGGTTAAGAATAGGTCCACCGCAGTAGTATATGTGTTTTCTGATATAGCGCATCCAGTTTGATCCGGTTTTTGAGATGGGAGGTATATGTCTTTTCGGATATGACGCATTTCACTTCTGCGCACCTTTTTCAATGCGTCATTTCGGAAAGAAACAACTGTTAAAATGTATTATAACAGACTTCCCCAAACTGTTAAAAAATGTATCATAACAGACTTCCCAAACTGTTAAAAAAATATATCATAACAGATTCCTCCAAACTGTCTTATAAATTACCCAAAACCACAGACAAGAATCACTAATAATAAAGTATAAAATAACCGCATTAAAAATGTCTTTAATTTTAAAACACGAAAAAAAAAATTCGAAGGAGACGGTTTCTTCTCTGCGCTAACATCTCTCATCCCCAAAGTGGCCAATTTTATCTCAAACAACAAATTTCATCCTTGTATTAAATCTTTCGTATTAAAAATATATGGTGTTTATTTCATTATTGAACAAATATGTCTTTAATAAATGTCCATCCTCTTAAAACGTATTTTGGGAGACATTCAAAAGTCATTGGGTTCTCTTCCTGGATTCCCATGGGCAAAATA